CAAGGAAACGCGGGGGGTTGCCACGTGCGCTACCGCCGCCGCCGCAGGCAGCACCCCTGCGGCGGCGGCAGCGGCAGCAAGCCGTGGACCCAAACGCCGTGCCGCCGCCGCCGCAGGCAGCACCCCTGCGACGGCGGCGGCAGCAAGCCGTGGACCGAAACGCCGTGCCGCCGAGTCCCGTGGCTGTGGCCGTGGGCTTCTGGCAGGAAACTACGGCCGCAACTCGGCAGCACGGGGGCGTCGCAGCGTGCCCCCGCCGCCGCCGCGCTGCCCCCCGGGCACGGCGGCGGCGGCGGCAGCAAGCTTGGGCCCAAACGCCGTGCCGCCGAGTCCCGTGGCTGCGACCGTAGACCGTGGGCCGGAAACTGCGGCCGCAGCTCGGCGGCACGTGGTTCTGTTCAAATCGCCAAGCGTGCAGCAGCGCCGAACCACGCTTCCCGGCCTCGGCGCATGCCTTCAGGGGCCCCCTATCGCTGGGCACACCCCTCCAACACCGAACATGCGCCCGGGGGGGAGGGCGGCCCGGGCTGCCCAGGCCAAAGTGGGCCGCCCTCGAGCAAGAGGCGGCCGGTCTGTGTGCTGAATGAATGAATGCAGTGAAAAGGGGGGAATGGTGCAGCAGTGGCGGATTCAAGCAGGCTGGAAGGGGAGAGCATCGCCTTCCGCGCCTTTCTCAGCAGCGGCCTGCCCGCGCTGTGCAGGGGGCGGGGCCACGACTCGTGCCTTCTTCAGCTGCGCCTTGAGCTGGGATGCTGTGCTCTTCTCCGTGACCTCCGCCTCCTCCCCTGCAGCCACCCCTGCCAGGGTGCAGCGGTGAGGCTCACGGGCGGCGGCTCAGGCGCCGGCCAAGCGTCGGACCGGCGTCTGCCCTGCAGCCCTCTGCAGGCACGCTGGGCAGCTCTCTTGCTCTCTGGTTGCCCCACCTAGGTGTGGGCTTAGGCTCTGGAAGAGCTCCTGAGCCATACGAGTGGTTCGCGGGTTGCCAACGCACGCCAGGTTTGCAGCCTGGCTCAGCAGGTTGCGGCGGTCCCACAGAGGGGACAGCTGGGAGATGAGGGCTTCAGCGATCCTGTCCAACAGCAGGTCGTCCAGCAGGCTGAAGCCCACGGCCGGGACCTTCTGGCCCTTCTGCTTCTGCTCCGAGCCCATTGCTGCCATGTGTTTGTGCGGCAAAAGGTGCTTGTGTGTGAGGTTGAATGAATGGCAGGCCTGGGTGGAAAGTGTGGGACCCAACATGACATGGGAGACGCTGTTTTTGCCTTGCCTGGCAGCAAGCAATGCGTCCTCCTCTCCCTGATCAGCAGCTGCAGGGCGGCGGCAACATGGTGGGCGCTGCCGGCGCCGCCGCCTGCCTGCCGCAGTTGCTGCAGCAAACGCCGCTCAGCAGACATCGTGCCATTGCGGCCAGAAGTCGAATGTTGTCATGGCTAGCGCCTTCGGCGTGCAGCCCGCCAGTCCGCGAGGCTGCCTAGCAGCCCACGGCGAGCCGCGGCATCAAGGTTCCGCGTTGCCCGCATTACAGCAGGCGTGGAGCATGCAGCCAGCCCACCCAGCAGCAGGCTGTCGCCGTCAGTCCGCCACCCACGGCAGCGCCCCCTGCATCTTTTCCAACTGCTGCCGCACGTCGGCCGCCAGCTCCTTCCTCCCCAGCTGCTCCGCCAGCTGGGCGTAGGCGGCAAACAGCGGCGCGTGCGGCTCCGGCGCTGCCGCCCCCTGCTCAAAGATCGCCAGCGCATCCTCTGCAAGCCCACAATCGCGGCAAGCACCGTGAGCAAGGCATGAGGTCACCACACGTCCAGCTATTCTCGGCAATGCCATGGCATATTGGCACTTACCCAGGTTGCCTGCTGCCTGCTCTGCCAGCGCCCACTCCATGCACCTGCAGATAGCAGAAGCAGCGAATGGTGCGATCAAGACGATCAAACCCAGAACTGCAGAGTGGAAGCAGGCAGGCAGGGCATGCACGCCTGGCTGGCAGACGGAGGCGCTCACAGCTGCGGGTTGCCTGGGTTGTGTCCCACACCCTGGCACAGCACCGTGCGCGCCTCCGCCACCTTGCCCTGCTGGAACAGCAGCACGCCATACACCTGCGGGCATCACGCAGCGCGGCGCAAAGTACACTCTCAACACGCTGCGGCGCTGACAGGAAGGAGGCGGATGGACGGGAGGCTGTTGCAGCGATCATGCACAGGTGGTCCTGTTGGCTGCTTGGCAGTGCGCTGCAAGGGGAGCCTCCCAACACGCGGCTCGCCTGCCACAGGTACGGGTTGCGGGGCGACGCTTTGGTGCCCTGCGCAAAGCAGCGCAGCGCGGCGTCGGGGCGCTTCCGCCGCCGCTCCAGCAGGCCCCACTGCAGCCAGGTGCGGTCATCCCGGGGGTCCGCCTGAGAGGCTTTGCAGAAGAGCGCCGCGGAGCGCTGCAGGCAGGGTGAGGCGGGCAGTGAGGCAAGGGTGTTGAGGGGCGTGTGTGGAAGGCAGGCAGGGGGGCAGAGGCAGAGGAGAGGCATGTGGAGCGGGGAGACGAGGGGGCACACCCTGCCTAGGCGCCGCACACGCAGGCGAGCCCCTCCCCGACATGCTGGCTGGCTGGCTGCAGGCCCGCAGCCCACCTCCAGGTCCCCGCAGCGCTTCTCAAAGGTGGCCCACTGCCGCCAGTAGCGCGCCGTCACGCGCGGCAGCTCGGAGCCGCGCTGAAACACGCTGCGCGCCGCCGGCTCCTGCACCGCGGCCACCCAAGGCAGCGGCACGCACACACGGCAGCCCGTTGGTATGCGCAAACCGGGCATTGGGAGCGGGGGCTGGCGAGCTGGGGCCCGGCAGCCTGGTCTGCCGCGGGTGCAGCGGGTCGATCCGGCACTGCTGCAAGTCTTTCTACCCAGCCAGCCAGCCAGCGAGGAGCCCACCTTGCCCTGGAAGGCCAGCAGCTCGGCCAGGCCCTCGTAGCACAGCAGCGCGCTCTTGGCATCTGCGGCAGGCAGCACCAGCGACGGAGCGTGGGGCTGGCAAAGCGCAAACCGCGGCCGGAGCCCGCACGGCGCCCGCATGGCAGGGGCGCCCCGCGGCCGCAGCAGCCGCCAGCCGCCGCGTACCTGTGGCGGAGCAGCCGCGGCGGTACCAGAGCTCGGCCGCCTCCAGCAGCCCCTCCTGCTGATCCAGCGAGCCCAGCGCGTAGCAGGCGTGGCCGTTGGCCGGTTCCACCTCCACCAGGCGCCGCCACACGCCGCGGGCCGCCTGCTGGTCGCCCAGCTGCAGCCAGGCGGGCAGCCCCGGGGTGAGCCCCCGCCATGCAGGCCAGCGCCGCTGCCGCACCCCACCGGGCCTCTCCCAGCCAGCAGCAGCGCGTCCACACAACCAAGCCCGTCCACACACCTCCAGCCTGCATGCACACACACCAGCCACCCCCTACACACACGCCAACCACCACACACCAGCCAGACCGCCCACCTGCACGTGCAAGTGTGCCAGCGAGGAGAGCAGGTGCATGTTGCGCGGCTGCGCTTGCAGCCCTCGCAGGTACAGCTGCATCGCCGCGTCGGTGTTGCCGCTGCGCGCCTCCAGCTGGCCCAGGCCCAGGATGCTCTGGGGGTGCCCGGGGTCCACCTGCAGCGCCTTGCGGTACAGCCGCCGAGCGGCCGCGATGTTGCGCCGCTGAGCCTCCATCCTGCGGCCACGGCGCGGGCGTGCATGCGTGTGTGTGTGCACGTGTTGGGTGCGCTTCCAGGCCAAGGCTAGGCCTGGAGCCCCAGGGGGCAGGCCCGCCAGCTGCGGCGGCCTGCGCTGTGCAGGGACACACGCGACAGCTCGACAGAGGCTACTGGTGGCGCTGCCCAGGCAGCCGGCCGGCAGCTCACTTGGCGTGGCCTGCCAGCAGCGGCGCGTGCGGCAGGCACTCCTCCTCCCCCTCCAGAAACAGCCGCTTGGCGGCGCCGTAGTTGCCCTGCCGCCACTCCATCAGCGCCCAGGCCTGGTACAGCTGCGCGTTGCTGGGGCAGGCCTGCACGGCGGCCCCAAACAGCCGCTGCGCCTTGGCCAGGCGCCCGCGCTTGGCCTCCAGCAGGGCCAGGGCCTGGAGGGAGGGCGCGTGCTTGGGCTCGGCTGCTATGGCGGCCTGGAAGTGCGCCGCTGCTGCCGCCAGCTGGCCCGCCGACTCGGCCAGCCGCCCCAACGCGTTGTGCGCGCCGGCGTGCCGCGCGTCTGCCGCGACCGCCCGCTGCAGCAGCTGCCGCGCCTCCTGGCGCCGCCCCTGGTCCGACTCAAACATGCCCCAGGCCTGCAGCGCCACGCTGGCATCCCGCTGCCCCGCCGCCACCTGCGCGGCTCGTTGGAAGAGGGGCCGTGCTGCGGCGGCGGCGCCTCGCCTGGCTGCCAGCCGCGCCGCCGCCAGGAGGTAGTGAGGGTTGGTGGGGAAGCGGTGCTGCAGGCGGGACAGCTGCTGCGCCACCTCGTCGTCGCTGCCAGATTCCAGAGCCTGCTGCAGCAGCGCCTTCTCGTCGACGGCGCCGCTGGGTGCGGCCGGTTCTGCAGTCCCTGCCGCCTCGTCGCTGCCGCCGCTGCCGCTGCCGCCAGCGGTGCCCGTCGCCCACTGCCGTCCTATCCGCCGCAGGATGCAGTGCTTTCTGCAATATCGGGCGCTCCAGCTGGTGCTGGCACAGGGCGCAAGAGGGGCTGCGCTTGCAGTCCTAGCGGGGGTGGCGCGGTGCGTTGAAGGCCCCTGCACACGGGCTGCATGTGCCGACATGCTGTAATGTGCGAGCGGTGAGCCGGCAAGCCGTTCCTGTCTGAAATCGAGTCGCCAGCCGAGACGCAGCACGGCAGCAGGCAGCGGGATGGATAATGGCGCATTGCCTTGCATGCACGTTGTTTGCACTTGAATATCGCACTCCTGCTAGAAGCAGCAGCGTCCATGCGCCACTGAGCGGATGGCCACGGCTTTCGCCACAGTGTGCCAGGCGCTCCGTTCCTGCAGCCTGGGCATGGCCTCGAGGGCGACCTTGATGCGAGGCGCCGCCAGCGCGCGCCCCCTGCGACCGCTGTTTACCGCCGCCGCCGCCGCCCGCCCATGCGTTGGCGGCCTAGCGCTGCCGCCTCGCCGCGCGGCCCGCCCCACCACCCTGCGCCCGCTGCATTCCACTGCCACCGAGGCCGAGCAGCACGCCGACCCCTCGCCCGCGGCAGCAGGCGGCGCGGAGGGCGTGGCGGGCCTTGCGGCGGAGGGGGTGGTGGAGGCGGCGCTGACGTGGCCGGCCCGCAGCCACGGCTGCGGTTCGCTCACAGCGGCGGACCTCGGCGGCAGCCCCGTCACCGTGTGCGGCTGGGTGGACCGGTACCGCAACCTGGGGGGCCTGCTGTTCCTGGACGTGCGGGACCACACAGGCATCATCCAAGTCGTGGTGGACCCGCAGCAGCAGCCCGAGGTGGCGGCCAAGGCGGAGCGGCTGCGGGCGGAGTATGTGGTGGCGGTGACGGGGCAGCTGCGCGCCCGGCAGGACCCCAACCCGCGCATGAAGACGGGAGACCTTGAAATCAGCCCCACGGACGTAAAGGTGGGTGGGCTGGGCAGGCAGCGGGGCTGCGCTCGCGACCGTGGCGCTGCCCCGGGGGGAACCTCAAGCTGTTGGGGGGTGAATGTGCGCGCTTCGGATGCAGCCGCAGGCGCATCACGCGCTGGCGCGTCTTCCCCCCCTCCCCCTCTGCCTCCCGCCCACAGGTGCTGAATGCCGTCACCCGCAAGCTGCCCTTCCTTGTGAGCCAGGCCGAGGACCAAGCTGAAACGCCGCGGGAGGAGCTGCGGCTGAAGCACCGCGTGCTCGACCTGCGGTGCGCGGCCTGGGCCGCGGCGGCCTGCAGGGCCGGGGCCGCGCCTGCTTGATGCGCGATGCCCCATCCGGCGGCTGGCTGCCCTGCCCTGCCCCCCCCTCTCCCGCCTGCCTCCCAACCAGCCTGGCCGCCCTCCTCGCTGCTCCTGCCACCACCCGCAGGCGGCCGCGCATGGCCGACAACCTGCGCCTGCGCCACGCCATCGTGCGCTGCATCCGCCGCTTCCTGGAAGACGGCCACGGCTTCCTGGAGGTGGAGACTCCCATCCTCACTCGCTCCACGCCAGAGGGCGCGCGAGACTACCTGGTGCCATCCAGGTGTGTGGGTGGAGATGTGGAGGGAGAGAGATGTGGAGAGAGAGAGGGCGAGAGAGGGGGGGAGTGTGGCGGGACCGGCGAGCAGAGATGGTGTGCTGGTGAAAGATTTTCCTGCGATGCTTACCATTTCATGGCCCCCGCCTGCCCCGGCCCGGCCGCGTGCCCCCGCAGGCTGCAGGCGGGCGACTGGTACGCGCTGCCGCAGTCGCCGCAGCTGTTCAAGCAGATGCTCATGGTGGCGGGGTTCGACCGCTACTACCAGGCAAGCCACGGCGCTGGCGGCAGCTGTGGGGAGCCAGCCGGCTGCCTCCTCCGCTCCTCCCCGCCTGCAGCGAAGGCTGGTGCAGCTCCGCGCGCAGCTGCACACATGCAGCCTGCTGGTGCACACCTGAGGCCGGCGAAACACGCCATCCCACACACCCACATGCGCACACCGCGCCCCGCCGCCGCCGCTGCAGATAGCGCGGTGCTTCCGCGACGAGGACCTGCGCGCCGACCGCCAGCCCGAGTTCACGCAGCTGGACCTGGAGATGGCGTGGATGGACCGGGACGCCATCATGGGCCTGATGGAAAGCATGGTGGCCACTGTGTTCCAGCAGGTGGGGTGGTGGGAGCAGAGAGGATCGGGGGGTGGGGCAGGAGACGGAGGGGAGAGGGAGGGAGGAG